TATATGTCCTATCCTTTAAATATACTGAAAATGAAATTGTTATCATGCTGAAATATATTTTGTTACATTTTAAATGTTTTGATGGTGGTGTTGTGTGGTTTTTCTATCAGGGCAATTGCCACCTTGTAAAAAGAATTTGACAATGTTCCTATTGTTTCTATTGTATGGAACAGTTTGAGGAGTATTGATATTAGTTCTTTGAAAATCTTGTGGAACTGTGCACTGACACTATCAGGTCCCAGTCTTTCTTGGTTGAGAGACTTTTGATGACTGCTTCTATTTCCTTAGCTGTTATAGACCTATTTATTTGTTTATCTGGTCTTGATTTAAATTTGGCAAGTGATGTTTATCCAGAAAATTGTGCATTTCTTTTAAGTTTTCCAATTTTGTAAAGTAAAGGCTTTTGAAGTATGACCTGATGATTCTCTGGATTTCCTCCATGTCTGTTGTTGTGTCTCCCTTTCATTTCTGATTTTGTTAATTTGGATACTCTCTCTATGCATTTTGGTTAGTGTTTAATAAGGATTTTTCTGTTTTGTTTGTTTTCTCAAAGAACCAACTCTTTGTCTCATTTGTTCTTTGTTTCTATTTTATTGATTTCAGCTCTCAATTTGATTATTTCATGCCTTCTAGTCCTCATTGGAGAGTTTGTTTCTTTTTGTTCTAGAGGTTTTAGGCATTCTGTTTATTCACTAGTGTGGGATTTTTTCCCAGTTTCTTTATGTAGGCATTTAGTGCTGTGAACTTTCCTCTTTACACTGCTTTCATTGGGTCCTATAAGTTTGTGTATGTTGTGTGGTCATTTTCATTGAATCTTAGGAAGTCTTTATTTCCTTCCTCGATCCATTGGTGATTCAATTTCCACATGTTTGTTGGCTTCCTGAAATTAGTGTTGTTATTGAATTCTAATTTTATGCCATGGTGATCTGATAAGATACATGGGGTTATTTCAATATTTTGTATCTGTTGAGGTTTGCATTGTTACTGAGTATGTGGTCAGTTTTTGAGAAGGTTCCATGTGAGTGCTGAGAAGAAGGATATTCTTTTATATGTGGATGGAATGTTCTATATATGTCTGTTAAGTCCATTTGAATCATAGTATCTGTTAGTTCCTTTATTTCTCTGTTAAGCTTCTGTCTTGCAGATTTGTTCAGTGAGAGTGGGCTGTTGAAGTATTCCACTCTTAGTGTGGGGGGCTTAATGCGTGATTTAAGCTTTAGTAATGTTCCTTTTACACATGAGTGTGTCCTTGTATTAGGGGCATAGGTGTTCAGCATTGAGATTTCCTCTTGATGCCTTTTTCTTTCTGACAAATATGAAATGTCCTTCTTTGTCTCTTTTGATTGATCTTAGTTTGAAGTCTATTTTGTAATGGATAGCTACCTCAGATTGCTTCTTTGGTCCATTTGATTGGAAATTTTTTTACTCTGATGTGATGTCTGTCTTTGAGACTGAGGTGTGTTTCTTTTCTTTTTTCTATTTTTCTACTTATTTATTTATTTTTATTTATTAAAAATTTCCACCTCCTCCCCACCTCCCATTTCCCTCCCCCCCGTCCTAAGAGCAGTCAGGGTTCCCTGTCCCGTGGGAAATCCAAGGTCCTCCCCGCTCCATCCATATCTATGAAGGTGAACATCCAGACAAACCAGGCTCCCACAAAGCCAGTCCATGCAGTGGAATCAAAACCCAGTGCCATTGTCCTTGGCTTGTGGAGTAAGGGGAACACTCATCCATTGTAGGTGGGAATGCAAACTTGTGCAACCACTTTGGAAATCAGTGTGGCGGTTTCTCAGGAAACTGGGAGTCAACCTACCTCAGGACCCAGCAATTCCACTCTTGGGAATATACCCAAGAGATGCCCAATCATACTACAAAAGAATTTGTTCAGCTATGTTCATAGCAGCACTATTTGTAATAGTCAGAACCTGAAAACAACCTAGGTGCCCCTCAATAGAAGAATGGATAAAGAAGGGGTGGAACATATATGCTTTAGAGTTTTACTCAGTGGTAAAAAACAATGACATTTTGAATTTTGCATGCAAATGGATGGAAATAGAAAACACTTTACTGAGTGAGATAACCCAGACTCAAAAAGATGAATATGGTATGTATTCACTCATAAGTGGATTCTAGCCATAAATAAAGGACATTGAGTCTATAATTTGTGTTCCTAGAGAAGCTAAATAAGAAGGTGAACCCAAAGAAAACCATATAGTTATCCTCTTGGATATTGGAAGTAGACAAGATTGCCAGACAAAATAGGTGTGTTTCTTGTATGCAGTAGAAGGATAGATTCTGTTTTTGTATCTAATTCCTAAGCCTGTATCTTTTTATATGTGAATTGAGTCCATTTATATTAAGGAATAATAATGACCAGTGATTGCTAGTTGCTGTAATTTTAGTTTCATTGTAGGTGATGTTATTGTGTGTGCTTTTTCCTTCTTTGGAGTTTCCTGCTGTGAGATTATCTATTGTCTGTATTTTTGTGGGTGTGGCTGACTTCCGTGGGTTGGAGTTTTCCTTTTCGTACTTTGTGTAGGGCTGGATTTGTGGTTAGGTATTGTTTAATCTGGTTCTGTGTCAGTGGTCTCTTAAAATCTGCATAACACTTGACTAGGACTTTCTGGCTTTCATTGTTTCTGCTGAGATAATAAACATAATTCTAATAGGTGTGCTTTTATATGTTTCTGGCCTTTTTCCTTTGCGGTTCCTAATATTGTTTCTTTATTCTGTATATTTTGTGTTATGATTCTTATGTGGTGAGGGGACTTTTTTCTTGCTCCAATTTGCTTGGTGTTATGTAAGCTTCTTGTACCTTCATAGGCATATTTTTCTTTGGTTGAGAAGAAAGCAAAGAGTCTATTTTTTAAAAAAGGATTTTTTGAAACTAAAAACTAAAAAGCATGTTTTTAGAAAATGAAAGACAAATGGGTGAGAAACACTTAAAAGTGTTCTACATCCTTAGCCATCAGGGAAATAAAAAAAATACTATTTAGAGATTTTGTCTTACTTCAGTCAGAATGACCAAGTTCAATAAAAGACATGACATTCCAGCCTAGTAAATATGCAGGGAAAGAGTTGCACAATTTCTTTTATGTTGAATGGAAACTGGTTCAGCTGCTGTCAAAATCAATGGAGAGAATCCTGGATATTTTACCTTATTTAGTAAGTAGCAAGGCACAGAAGAACAGTGGCGCTAGTTCTCCCATATACACACCCTAGTTCACAGTGGCGGCCAAAAAACTGTGAGCCTATTTCAGCCTTGTGTGATGATCACAGAGTTTCCCTGAGATCATTCTTAGGTGTGATATGCAAACATGGAGAGCAGTGAGTCTCGTACTGACCTGGCCCCATGGGCTGTGTACTAACCTTTATGAGCCATCCACTGGTGGTGCGAGTCTTGATTCCTGGCCTCAGGTGTAGAACTGATGACTCTTCGCCTTCAGGGACATGGACAATGGCATTCTCAGCCGAATCCTTCCTTACTGTCAGAAGCACTGTCAGTCACAGGAAGCTGGCATGCTTCACCCAGGCAGATCCAGTGCCCATGTGCTTCCCAGAGCACAGCTGGGACTTTGCTTCATGTTCCTCAGTTTATTCTTTTTCCTTCAATTCTAACTTAGCTCTCCGGGACCAGAGAGAATACTTTTCTCTTTTCTGAACTCCTTTGGTCTTCTTTTTAGGAGGTTCTAGAGTCATGAATTGATCTGGGTGTTGTTTTATAATCTGGTCAAATTTCTGGATATCACAAGGGCAGAGGTTAATGTCATCAGGGAGACAACTTAAACTTCACAGTGCCTTCCTGAAGATGATGTTCTCTGCAAGTGTCAGTATTCTGTCCTTTGGAAGAAAGATGCTTTCTTACAGAAAATGTGAAGAAAAATGTTGCTTTTTCTAGGCTTAATGGAACAAAAATTTAGGAAATTCAGGAAGTCTGGAGCAGGAATAGGGATTGAGGAAGAGATGTGCTATTTCATAAACTTAAGTTTCTTCCTTTGTGGGGAATCACCTCTTGTGACAAATGTCACATAGTGTCTTTCAGATCCTGAGATTTCAGCATGATGTCTTACCAACAGCAGACAGGAGGGCCCACTGAGTCACAGGGCTCTATAGTGATGGTGTCCAGGAACAGGATATTTCCTATTTGTGGAGTCCCAGTCAGGACAGTCATACATGGATTTGCATTTTGGTTGGGAAATTCTTGGACCTGCCCTCAATAACAGCTCTACTCCCAATGGGCGGGGCAGCCGGTCCTATAAAGAGGCCCTTGACTGTGTGACTGCAGATTCCTGGTGGACAAGTCCTGGACCCCGAGTTTGGAGAACTTGGTGAGTGTTCCTTGGGTTGATTATCTTTATGGTCTGCTTATGTGCTGCAGTCAGTTTTGAGGGACTAAGTGTGAGGAGTCCAGTTGTCTTCATGGGATGAACAGCAACAACTTGGCAATCAGAGATACAGCAATGGATACAAGGCCCACTGTGAAAGGTGGCTTTTCCTTTTATTAAGCCAGTGGTTGAACAGAGTATTTTTCTCTTTCATATGCATTGCTTGGTGTCCTTTTCAGAGCCCTATACTTTAACAGATATCAGAATCTGGGACTTTCCTGAGCTGTCCTTTATTTTACAACCCCAGAGAAGGTGCTGAGATGTCAGAAGTGACAAGGGAGACAGGAATGTGTTCTCAGACTGCTCAGGGTTCCAGAACTTGAGGCTGTCTGTCTCAAATGAATTTCAGTGTGAAAGGAGCCTTACTTGTTTTGCTCAAATAATGTACTTATTTCCTGGAATAAGTCATGAAATGAAGGTTACTTCCCAAAGCTAGTGCCATGGATCGCTGAAAGACAAGGAAAAGCCAGGCTGTCCTAAAACAGGAGTTGGGGATATGTGCATGTGTGGACAGAGAAAGGGATGTGATGTTCCATGTCTCTGTCTCTTCTCTCTTTGTGGTTCATCCCCTAACACGGTCATGTAACGTCTTTCAGATCCTGAGACTTCAGCACGATGTCTTTCCAAGAACAGCAGTGCAAGCAGCCCTGCCAGCCTCCTCCTGTGTGCCCACCCACAAAGTTCCCAGAGCCTTGTCCTCCTCCAAAGTGCCCTGAGCCTTGTCCTCCTCCAAAGTGCCCAGAGCCTTGTCCTCCTCCAAAGTGCCCAGAGCCTTGTTCTCCCCCGAAGTGCCCAGAGCCTTGTCCTCCTCCACAGTGCCCTGAGCCATGCCCCCCTCAGCCATGCCAGCAGAAATGCCCTCCTGTGCAACCTCCTCCACCCTGCCAGCAGAAGTGCCCACCCAAGAGCAACTGAGTGCTTCAGCAGTCACCAGGACCAAGAGAAGAGGAGAAAATCTTTCTCCCATTTTTCCATAGAAACACTTCCGTCTTTGCTTCAAAGCCTGCCATGGATGCAGAAGAATCGTCTCCAGCCTTCACCCTCCATGTGCCTGTGATGACCCCTGATAGGGAGGGCATTCTCCTGAGATTGTTTTTCTGCTATAAGGAGAGGCTGAGAATGGTCCTTGCTCACTGGCTCATTGTCCCAAATGCTCAGTGATGAGCAGCCTCTTTCCACCCTGTGCACTCAGAGGATGTTTCCAAAACTCTCAGTCTCTTTGTTTGTGTTGTCACTATGGCTTTATTTCCTGAATAAAGTACAATATGGCTGTTAGTACTCATGAGTTCTTTTTTTTTCTTCTAAAACTGACTCTATGACCTTCCAGACATTCTCCAGTTACATTACTTTTATTCTTTGATGCCCCGGTTATCTTGATGTAAGCAGTTTTTGACTGTATTTTGGGTTATAACAAAAATTGCTTAGTGTTTGTTTGCTTGGGAAAAAGAATTTAATTTTGCTTAGATACAAGTTGCCTGTTAGCACATGCCATTTTAAGACGATCCTGTGGTATTCAGATATGCATGTGTCACTTATCACACATATTCCCCACACCCCATGTATTTTCTCCCCACTTCCCCCTTCATCCTATGTAATAGTTACACATCTACATCAACTTACCCTTGTCATCTTTTCCTCCTTCAGTATTTGAAACATTGGTGACAACCTGGTATTTAAGCCTGGATTTATTTCCCTGAACATGCTGTTATGCTTTTTCATTTTCTTACCTGCAGAGGACATGATATCATTGTTTTATATGACTGATCATTACTCCAGTCCACATAAGTGCCGCATATTTTTATCCGTCCTGGTGTGCAGATGGACTGATTTCTTTACCTTGATGTTAGGAATAGTTCTGCAATATAGAAGGACATGCAGGCATCTCTATTCTATACTGTATTTAACTTCTTTTATAAAAACCCAAGTGATGGTGCTGTGTCATATGACCGTTTTGCTTTAGTGCTATTTCTTTGGAGGAAACTTCATACAGATTTCCATATTTGATGGGTTAGTCTCCTCTCTCAACTCTAGAGCTTGTGTTCTTTTTCCTCCACTCCTCTGCCAGGATTTGTTATTATTTTAATGGTCCTCATCCCTACACGGATAGACTGGTCTTCTGGTGGAGGCTTGGTTTTCTGTTCTCTAACAGCTAAATATGTTGAACATTTTCTTGCTAATTTTACTTGTGGAAACTCCTGTCTCTCCCCTTTAATGGTGCTAGGTATGCACTTTGTCTCATGGAGAAGAATCTTAAATCCAAACAGAAAGTGGTTGGTTGCACCCCTTCGCTTGTGCCACTGTCACACCAGTGGTCGTATCTTGTCAAGGCAGTCATTGTTGTAGGTTGCATTGTTCAGAGCTGTGTGAGCCTTGTGAGTACTTTTCTCCTTTAGCAATGTTCATATCACCTCCAATATCATGAGGGCTGGATAGTAGGGATGAAGTGCTCGCGAGCACCTCTTAGATTTCTCCATGTTGTCTGTCTTAAGCATTGGTGTCTGTAGAAATGGAGTCTTAGCATGTTATTCTGTAGTGTGGACAAATTACAGGCAATAGTGTGTAAGGTCATGGATTCAGTCTATGATAACCCACTGGCTAACAACTAAAGAGAGGTAAGCTGTGAGTGCTAATGAGTTTTGCATTTGTTAATATGAGGTATCTACTTGAGATATTGCACCATATGCAGCAGTAAGGTAATTCCATTAAAACATTTTATATATGTATATCTTAGTAAGCTTTCAGTGTAGTAGATTTACATAGGGCATATGGCTATTTTGAAAGACATTTAATGATAAGCATCCTTCTCTATATGCCCTGATCTACCCTGCCCTCCCATGTAGCATCACAAAGCATGTCTTCTCTTTGCATTACTTCCCTTTAACACTTTATACCCTTCTAAGTGGAGTATATTCAAAGGAAGAACCTGAATGTAACAGACACTGATTTCCCAACTCAGTTGGCAATGCCATAATTGACACAGCAGAGGTCAGGCGTGGACTAAGATGATCCTTTATGATTGATATGCAAATATGGAGAGTAATAAGTCTCTTACTGGCCTGACTGGTAATATGGGTACTAATCTTTGTGAATCATCCTCTGGTCATGTGTTGGTCAGCCTCTGCCCTCAGGTGCTGAATTGATGACTCTTTCCCTCTAGGGACATGGACAAGAGCAGTCTTGGCTAAACCCTTCCTTACTGTCAGAAGCACTGACAGTCACAGGAAGCTGACATGTTTCACTGATGTTGATTCTGTGTCAGTGTGCATAATGGGGCATAATGGAGCATAATGGGGCCAGTTAAACTCTCTGTTTTGTCTTCTTCATTCTATTTTTTCCCCTCTAAGTAGAAAGCCTCTTCCCAGGATCCTTCACAATTGCTTTTTCCAGTCAAGGAAGCTCGAGAAACATAACTTTAAACATCACCTGTGCTATTTCCAACCAGGCCCCTGACTGAAAGAAGGCAGAAGGGCTAGGGAAGCACAAGGCCTGCATATGTACTGAGAGCATGTCTTCAGTGGGGGACTGCTACTAAATCACTCAGCTCAGAGGCACAGCACGTCTCAGTCTAGGAAATCCCTGGTGAGGAATCATAAGGTAGGGATCTTATTGATAAAAACAGTGTTACCCTGTGTGGGAAAAGATATTAAAAATACTCTTTCCCAAATTTGGGTAAGTATTTGTACAAAGAATGACATAGAGCTGTAGTAACAACTGTGTAACTACATATCTCTGTACCACTCATCTGAAATTTTTTCCTTTTCTGAAGCTCTCTGTCCCTTAGCCTTACTCTGAATCATATACACATGTTCCTGGCAGCATAGGGCCTCATAAAACACCACAGAGTTATTATCTGTGTAAGCCAACTTTGATGAATCTTTGTTATTTTTGTTTGATATTCCATGTTTTCTTCAAGAGACAATTAATGCAATCATTGTAAATATTAAAGAGTACAAGGATACCTCTCTGTGGGTGAGGAGACAAAAGCTGAACGGCCTGAGAGCCACTCAGCAATCACACTGTCTCATGAGAGGGCAGTACTGCTGTGTCAGTGGTAAGAGGAAAGAACCCATGATGCAGGGCACACAGGTCAACTCTGGAAACTGTCAGGCTCACACATGGAGAATAGATTGCTTAATGAGGCTAATATCTGTCATTATATGAGGCAGGTGCTTTTAAATATTTCCTTTGTTCTGGAAAAGCTCATACACCCAGGGAATAGAAATAACCTGCTAAGACTTGCCAGAGAAGGATATAGGATTATAAATGAGATTTCTTCTGACTTTTTCCTTCTAGCAATCTAACTAATTTTATAATAAATGCAATAATGGGGGTAGTTATGTCTGCATTCTACAAAATGACACACAGCTGAAACTGACAATTTTTTATCACCAGTAAAGATGAAGAACAGAATGTAACAATATAGTCAAAGAGGAAATACAGTTTTCAAAACCAGTTAGAAGATGCATCTATTTCCCCAGCTGCCAGCAATTACTGAACTTGTGCGGGAAGGAATGGTCTCTGAGTCACAAACCTCAAAAGCAATGGTGTCCAAGAGTAGGCCATACCCTTCTTTGTAACAGACAGCTATGTTTGATTGGCATTTTGTTTAGTAAATTGTTGACCCTGCCCTCCATCAAGCAGTCCTCTAAAGACATCCTTGGATGCCTGCCTGGAGCACACTTTCTTTTCATGTACTGAACTACTTATGACAACTTGTAAATCTGATTTTTTGGTGGTTGGTCTTTATGGTCTTCTCATGTGTTGAATATAATTTGCATAGAGTCAATTTGATGACCACAGAATGAATGTTAGCAGTCAAAAAATTCGAAGTGAAGTACAATGAGAAATTGTGTAGTTTGGCTTTTCTTTCATTTCTTTGAGAATAGATGGAATTAAAGACAGGATAATATTGAAGGTTTGATGTTATAGTTTCTTAATTGTTCTCTCACCAACAAGACTTGGGAGTCAGATATTAGGGTAAAAACCTTATAGAGCAAATAAATGGCAGAGGAGATACCAGTTGATCTCCTATGCACACTTCCTAGATGCCACGGACCGGCTCAGGGGAGCCACTCAGACCGTGGGGGAAAACAGGACGAAGAACAGGAGTAATCAGGGTACGGTCAGGAAATTGACAGACAGTCATTCTCAATGTGATTGAGACATGCTGCTGCAACTTTATTCTTTCAGTGTGAGGGTTTTATATTTTTACAAACAAAGAACTTGGTAAAAGCATACATCATCAGATTATAAAATAGAAAAGATCAGCACAAAACAGTTTTACAAAGAGAATCTTTGAAGATGCTTTGGCATGAGTACAAGGACTTTTGCTCCCTCATATTCTGTTAAGTCAGCCCTTTTTCTTGTTTTTAGAGAGGCCACTGTTCTTAAGTTAGGCCATCTTTATCAGCTTATACCAGGTGGCTGGCCGGGTTTAGCTAAGTGACCTTGCGTGTCTGGGTGAGAAAAAAGAAGGCTACTATCTTCCTGGGAAAGTTTTCTGCTAGGAAATTCTATGATCTCAAACTTGTCTGAAACTCATCTCATACCATAAATCTCAACTCTCTTCCCTTTCCAACTCTCAGGGTCAGATGTTGTAATTAGCCTAGGTTTTCTGGCCATAAGGAAGGCTGCATAGGCCTCCTGTTAAATCACACGTAAATGCCTAATACTGTTTTCCTGTAGAAGGTTTCTAAGGTTTTTCCTAGTAAAATTAACTCCTTTTGTTCCACATCATCTAGGAATTATCCTAATGATGACCCTGTCAATTCCCAGAACTGGCTACTTCTTTTAAGGCTTTAATGAATGGTGGGGCAGAGTTCGAAAATGTCCTCTGCAGTCTTGTTTGTATCCGCAACTGCCTGGGATAGTCTGATCTGTTAGCAATATGTAGGGATCACAAAGAACACACAGAG